CATCCCAGCTCCAGGTTGAGCTGTTGTTCAGCATCTTAGCTGTAGAGGGCAGTGTCACTGGCCCTCATATGTAGGATCCGAATCTGGGCCCTCTGGCGTCCCAAGCCAGTTCTTAACCATCGCGCCACTCGGCCGGCCCAAGAAACTTTTTATGCTAATTATCTTAAACTCAAAATACTTATCAAAAGACCAGTAAAAGGATAATCAAAAGTCACAGTTAACCACCTTAGAAATCATGTAGTACTCCGCCTTTGTGTTTCTCTCCTAAGGTTGCATTGCCTTTCTTATTGGTTATTCAAGAAATCAGGATTTTCTTAGATAAAACTGCTTCTTGATAATGGTCAGAAGGAAGTGTCTAACTATCATGACCTTGATTTCCCTTTGCTCAGTTAGCAGTGAGATTGTATACTGACCACACCTGAATACAACTGAAATTCTATTTTCTTGTGTTTCTATTTGCTCTGGTAATTTCGTTTTACATAGCTGATTACAAATCCTCTTGAATTTTATGTGGACACATATCCTCTTGACTGTACTTCCTTATTTCTTTTAGCTCTATCTCAAATGATAAAATCACTGTCAGCTGTGCTTTGTTCCCACTGTCTCTGCTAGTCTCTGTCCCCACAGCTGGGGTGGACTCTTTCTTCCTCTGGAGTTTGTAAGTCAAGTCTGAGTCAAATTAATCAGCAGTCTCAGTACCAACTCCATTTTAGTGCAATATTTTCAACATATAGCCAGTGAACTTCTTGCATAAAAATTACCTACAGAGCTTTTTAAAAATGCAGATTTCAGGCCGGCCGAGTGGCTCAGTTGGTTAAGAGCTCGCTTGGGACGCCAGCTCTGAGCAGCAGGGCTGCAGTTTGGATCCCACATTAAGGGCCAGTGACGCTGTGCCCTCTACAGCTAAGATGATGAACAACAGCTCGACCTGGAGCTGGGCTGCTGTGAGTTGCCGGCGACGGTGTAAGCTGCAGCGGGCTCCAATGGGCTGCCATGAGCTACATGAGTGGCTCACAGCCGGAGAGAGCTGCTGTGAGCCACAGTGAGCGGCCCACCATGACCAGCAACCAATTGCCTCACCCGGGAAGAGCACAATGATCATATCAACATGGGCCAGTGAAACAACGTCCTCCACAACTAGACTGAAGAACAAAACAGCAATTTGTCTACCTGTCTGTTCCCCTTCCTTGATTCCCCAACGCTGTTCCCCTCCCCCAAATCCCCAATAAAATCTTAAAAAAAAAAAATGCAAATTTCTTGGACTTGCCCCAAGATAATCTGAGGTCTGAAGAGAAATATGCATTTTATAAGAACGTCACAGAAACACAAAACTGTTTCATCACAGATTTTTTTAGAATGCAACTACTTTGCTAAGAACGGTTTGAATTAAGAGTTAATATTCTTAATGATAAAAGTTATTATAAAACAACAAAGATAGTTGAACACAATAGAAAAGTGGACTAGAACGTAAAATGACACATTACTGAATAAGTACAAATGACCAATGAACAAAAAATTTAACAATACTTAAGATGAGATGTCATTTTAAAGTATTTTATATTAACCAATTTGATTAGTAACAGCTAACACTTGTCGATTACTTACTATGTGTCAAATGCTGTTGTGTTTTACATAAGTAATCCTCATAACTTTTCAAGAGAGGCACTCTAATGCTATCTATTAGGTAACTTGCCTAAGGTCTCACTTCTTACGGTTAATAGGAGCCTGAAATTTGATTCAAACCCAGGCAGTGAGGTTCTATACTCTATGCTCTTAAACACTACATTACAATAATATATACCCAGTATTGAATATGTGTGGGGTAATAGACACTCTTACATAAAACTGAAAGTATTAATTAATCTTTCTGGCGGGGATTTGGCAGTATTAAAAGCCTCAAATATGTGGCTACAGTGTAACCCAGAAATTCTATTTCTAGAAATTTATCTTATCACTAATGATAAACATATACTGAGCACTTATTATATGCCATGCATTGTGTTAAGTGTTTAATTTGCATTAAAAAGTTTAAGAGGTAAGTACTCTTATAAGCCCCATTTTCCCCATGGAGAAACTGAGATAAAGTAAATCTAAATATCTTGTCCAAGACCATATTAACAGTGGTGAAGCTGGAGTCAAACCCAACTCTAAATTTCAAAACCCATATTCTTCCTGTATCTGGTACCACCTAATAAGGGAATAGTTAATAAGGGTTTATGTCACTAAGGATTTATGCAAAGGTAAATGTACAAACATAAAAACATAATGGAAAATAACTGGAAGAAATTTAGATGTCCAAAATGGAGACTGATTAAATAAATTATGGTACAGTCATATAACAAAATAATATGTTGTCATTTTAAAAAATGTGGTAAGGAGTATGATGTATGCATCTTACTCTCAAATAGCTCAGAAAAATTGTGTGCGTGTGCATAGACAGAGGCATATATATGTGTGTATATATGCATGTATCCATATCTGCATCTATATCTGTATCTAGAGAGTGCTTAAGTGTGAAAGAGCATGCATGCAAGTACACACACAAACGATAAAGCACTAGGGCAGAATGGTAACAACTGGCGATGCTGATACTGCTTGGACCACCCTTTGAGTAGCAAGGATGTAGGGACCCTTAAAACTGCTTATATCAGGCTGGTGATAACTTATCAGTTACTAAAGAGGCAAATCTCCATAATATACGGCATACTTACGAAGCAAAAGGAATTTTTAATATAGGATCTGAGTTGTCAACAATAAGGCTCCCAGATTTAAAGTGAGGACTGAACTGTGTTAGATGATTTCGAAGAATTCCAACAGCGACTTGTGCATGTGGATCAAGACTAACTCTGAAAACATTAATTTTAAAGTGGTTAATTTTTAGGAGTATTTAATTGAAAATTAACAGGCTAGGTAAACTATTTTAAATATAAGCAAAGTCAACAGTTTGAACTCTAACATACCTGAATACAATAACACTTCCTGGAGACAAGTTTTCAAATTCTATTTCTTGAATATATTCATTGGGTCCTTTCGTGGCAATTCCAGCTTGTTTAACAATTTTACTTTCATTAAGCTTGAAAAAAGTTATATAAAGACCATTTAACAAGTAATTCTAATGTCCTTAAAATGTTAAACACAGTAGTTAGATGAGAATACCAAATACCTGAATATGTTCGCTAATTTCTACTGTGATATTTGGCATTCCATTGATTGAGTTCTCATCCTTTTTATAAGGTTGTGTATTTCTTTCAACAGTTCTAGCTTCAAAAACTACTTCTTCAATTTTGCCTAGGAATACATAAAATTTTAACAAAATTTCATATTAAACAATCTGAAATTAGGAATTGCTAAAGGTGTTTTAAATCATTTAACTTAAAATTGAATATGAAATGTCAGTTAATTAAAAAAAATGCAAAACAGTCTGAAAGTAGGTGATTCTACCCAAGATGAATTTTTCACACAATGCTTTTGTTTTTAAAGTCACAAATTAGGAAAGCTTTATTTGAAAAGAGATCTTATCAAGTATTGATTGATAATAATTATTAATAATAAATTAGAAAATAAACACCCAGTCCTACCACCTAGCTTAAGAAACATTACAAATACAACTGAAGCCTCTGTGTACCCATCCTTCCCCTGCGGAGATAACCACTGCCTGCAGTTCGATGTTCACTGATCCTATGCATTTTTCCATCATGTGTGTTTTCCTAAACAACATACATTGTTTTCACATTTGCAAGTTTTATTAAAGTGGATTCAAATTATATATTGGGCTGTCAGAAAAGTCATGTCTATACATATATATATGTCTATATATATACACACAAATATATTATGTATATATATATATATATTTCTGCAACTTGCTTTCATTGGATAACACTGTTTTTTAGATTCATTCACATTGCTGCATTAGCTCTAGCTCATTTATTTCAAATGCAAAATAGCATTATGCATAAATATATCAAAATGCACTCATTCTTTTAATGCTGCCATTAATTTCTCTCTATTATAACTACTGTTATAATGAATATTCTTGTGCATATATCTTCTAATGGAAATATATGCAAGTTTATCAGATATCTATGTAGGAGTGGAATTGCTGGGACAAGGATATATAAAACTTTAACCTTATTGTTTAAATATTTTAAGCTTTAAGCCATTAAACTGACAGTAAGTACCAGTACTTTTTTTTTTTTAAGATTTTTTTTATTGGGGATTTGGGGAAGGGGAACAGACAAGTTGCTGTCATTTTGTTCTTCAGTCTAGTTGTGGAGGACATTGCTACACTGGCCCAAGTTGGCACCATCATTGTGGCTCTTCCCGGGCTACAATGGGATCAGATCAGAGGCAGATCAGTCACTGGCCTCTGGACGGCCACTCACAGCGGCTGCTGGCCACTCACGCTGGCTGCTGGCTACACACGGTAGCCCATGGCAACTCACTGCAGCAGGGGCTGCAGCCTACACTGTCGCAGGCGACTCATGGCAGCCCAGCTCCATGTTGAGCTGTTGTTCAGCATCTTAGCTGTGGAGGGCAGTGTCACTGGCCCTCATATGTGGGATCCGAACCAGGGCCCTCTG